CACACTGGAACGAGTCAAACTACATTCCCCATTTGATTTCTCAGTATTTCCCAGATATAGAGTGTATTCAGAGTGACCACTGAAACAGATTCAGTCTGTACTGTCAATGGTCATTATAGAAACATTTGGTAGTTCAGTCAGAAATAACTCAGTCACAGATTCAGTTGACACATAATATTATAATAACATTTTGTTTGCTGAGCAACCTAACTATTGTGCATAATCTGACAGTGAGATGAACATCTTTAAAATGTTGATTAAATAAGTATCGGACACATTGAAATAACAGCTACTTACTTTTACCCACTGTATTTTTCATGAGTGGTGGCAGTCAATACTGTTGAGATTAAACCTGATTGTACTGTGTAATGACTTTAATGGGAGTTGGATTACTGAAACAGACGTGACGAGATCAGCTGAAGGATCTACTGATGTTTTGCGTGTATCATTGAGGTCTAACTGACTTTAGAGAGCATTTCCAAATAGATTCATCAAGCGTTTGCATATTTTTGTTCAAGTGTTTTAAATATCGCATTGTTTACATCCATGTTGACGAGCTGCATTCTTCGTCTTCTTGTTGCATATCTTGGTGTGTTCTGTTGGAAACCTTGTAATCACTGTTACAAGTTTCCTCAATCTGAAGAACACAATTTGGGCTCCTCTATTAAAGGGAATGCTAATAAACCCTATTCAAATTTAGTTGAACTACCGCTGAAATGCCAACCATATCCAAACCCGTCTACCTTCCATATGCAGTAAAACGCCTCCCCAACACTTATCCCAACACAGCACTTCACAGGACAGCACAGCACAGCAAGACAAAGAAAAAGAGGCGAGATAACTGGTAGAGAGGCAGGAAGGGAAGCACTACTAAATAAAAAATGAAGTCTACAAACAGGAGGATGCCGTTCTTCATGGGTTCATGTCATAAACCTAGCATTCAGAGAGTAAGGCTGGTACTGGCTCTGCACTTACTGCTCTCTTCAACTCAAAAGGAGGAAAGAGGTGGAAGAGGAGAAGGAAGAGGGAGGCTCCCCAAACCAAGAGGAAGTAAAAAGGGGTGGAGGTGGGTTGGAGGGTGGCTAGGGGGGGAGTTGGGTGAGTGAAGGAAAGGCGGGAGGGGTCGGGGGGTGGGGTTTCCTACGGAGATCAGAGTAGTAGACTGGTGGTGGGGAGCAATGTTCCCTCTCAGGCTGTGGACGCACTACAACATTTTTATATCGGCACACGCTAACACATGTTGAGCAGATCATCTCTTAGTGTCGTGTATAAATAAGCCATAGTTACGTTAGATACTTGGAAACTCAGATTATTGCACGGTTCAACGCCACTGCAGGTTGTTTTCAGTTTAGTTATCTGTGAGGCCTTTATGTGGTTCAAGAGATTAGTCATTCAGTTATTTTGTTACACTTTTTTTTATCAAGGTCTCTGTCTCTTTGATATATTTGACTCCACTAGACAATTCCAGGCAATGTTCCAAATCACTGAGCATGACTTTTTGCATCAAAATGTTTCCATTCAATCGCTGAGCGACTCTTAACGTCCCGGAGGAAGTGGAAGTTAGAGCGTCTTTAGTTTCTGTTTCTGGCGTTTACAAAAATGTGATGCAACCAAATGAGTGGGGAGCCGATGACGGAAACGGTTGAGATTCAGCAATGTATTCCTTTCATCCCTCGTCCTCCTGATCTAAAGACAGGTGAGGGAGGTGTGTGTGCGGAGCCACAGTCCTCTGTAGCTTCGTATCACGCTGAACTTTAAGCCCGCCGATCTTTTAGCTGTCCGATAGAACGCAAAGGATTTGATTGAAATGTGAGGAGAATTTGCAACAGAAGAATTTAGCATTCCATAATCCATGTAACTTTTTCGACAAAGGCAAAAAAAGCGAGCATAGAAACATTTTTGCGCAAATGAGGAAGTTTTGTTGAATTTTGCCGTTGCCTAATGCGACACTTGCACATCATAATATGTGAATGGGAACACGGCTAATGCGATGACATTATTTGATTTGTCACATCAAACATTTACTGTGTCAAATCTGTCTCGATTGTGTTGTACAATGTGTTGGTATCTGTGCTTTATAACACTAGTTGTCTGAGTGGTCGGTCCAAACGCATTGACACATTATTCCTTCATTTAAAATACAAAGTAACGGTGGAGACACATCAGTCCAGTTTTCCACGACATGGGATTATTATTGTGTACCAAGCTAATTGTTCCAAGTTATAGTAACAATTAAAAGCAAGGTGAAAAGAGACTCTTCATTCAGTTCAGAATCTGCTGTTCTTAGAAAGCTAATCTTGAGGTTACTCTTTTAACACATCATCCAACAATATCCTAGTTAGAGATGAAATTATTAGATGATTCATTCATTAGTCGTTTAACAAAAAAAGATCATATAAAACTATTTGGATGAATAATTAAATTTATATTTGTTGAAGTTCTCTTCATCACGAGAGCAATCAATAAATCAAATGCTCTGACAAAAAGGACCAAAAACATCCGGTATCTGTGGCTGTCACAGGACAGTAAAAAGCCCATTTCATTTGGCCCCAATTAGGTAGTCCTGAAGGGACGGGCTGTCAGTGTTGCAGACTCTGTAACTTTCTTGCTGGATTTAGCATCTTCTGGAGCTAGGCCTGCTAGCTACTTACATTGGAAAATAGTTGGCAACTCTGGGCTGGATTTTCAGGACAAGTTTTGCGTAATCTTGATAGTTTCTCAAGATTTCCAACCCTAGCTTCAATCATTTCAGTTTTGTTTGTTTTTCAACAAAAATGCCAAATATCCTCAGTTTCCAGCTCCTGAACAGCCAGTATTTGTTGATTGTAAAATTAAATATCTTTGGAGTTTGGACAGTTGGGTCGTACAAAACAAACAATTTGATGACATCACCTTGTGCCTCAGGAAATTGTGAAGCGCAATTTATCAATGTCGTCTGATATTTTGTAAATCAAAGGATCAATTCATTGATTCATGGAAAAACTAGGCAGCATAATAGTTAAATAACACAAATAATTGTTAGTTGCAGCCCTAATTGATATAACTACTATCTGCTAAAGATCATTTTAATTTTAATTAAATGATTTTGGTACATTTAATGAAATATTTCTAAGATCCAAGGATCCAATTCTGGAATTGAAAGAACCCTGCAAATATATTGTTGTATGTATAATATATTTATATATATATACAGTAAATATATATATTCTTTTTTTTTTTCTAGTATTTTATCAGAATGGCTGAAATCTTTCTGTAAATTGATGAATGTAAGATGGAGTCATGCCTAAAACCCTCTTATTACCGGTTCTAGTGTGTCCCCAGCCTTAGCCAGTGACATCCAGTCATGGTTTCCTGCCATGTAAATCTACAGTTGTCATTCCAACCAAACACTAAAGCTGCAGTTTTGTTAGAGAAGACCCTGGACTTTGACCCGGAGCAGCCCACAGAACTGGGATGCACATCCATGGTCTCTTGTAAGGGTTGTCATGTAAAGCTGCATAAAGGGGCTATTTTTGCATCCCCCTTGTTAACATTCCACCCCAACTATCAATCCCATAACAGCAGAGAGTGTAGGGCGCTGTCCGTGGTGCTGAAGTAGGAGAGAGATTTGTAATTGTGCTTTTTCTCTGTTATATCTTAGATTAATAATATATTGATAATAGTCTCTAAACTATATAATATGAATACTCAATGATATACCATATACAGTACTTTATATCATAGTGACACCTTCATGATCAAAGTGACAATAGCAACATGTTGTCCGAGAAGACAGAGAGGATCATAGGAACTGTATTAGTAATTGAGTGTCACAATACCAAAATTGTTGCAATACTCTGGATGTCCGGCTGCCTGGAAAATTCCCAGAATACATTGAAAGAGGCAGCGCAATTCGTTATTCCCTCTGCTCACTGACTGTAACGGGACGTCACCACATCTCCAAAGGGCCTTTCTAACTCCGTCAGAGCAGGTTGTACACAGCTCCTGAATTAAAGTCTGAAGCTGTGTTTCAAATTGGATTAAAGTATTGTTTTACCAACTGTGTGATGACACCTAAATCAATAGGAATCATTTTAAAGAAAGCTGTAAAAGCTTTGATTAACATAGTAACATTCTGGAAAAATATAATTTACTGAGAATTAAAAAAAAAAATCAAATATGCTTGTTTTATGTATAAGAGTTTGCATGCGCTCGCCCTACCTCCTCTAAATGAATCTGTTTAACAAAAGGCTGAAAGTGGCATTGGCACCAGGACCACCACTAGAGGAGATTGTGAGGTTCCACATAGGCACACCACATTTGGACACACTGTGCTGTCAGTAAAGGGAGGTAAACATTGGAATGTACAAAAAGGGTTGTGTCCAATTGAACATATTCCACTTTTAAGACCCATCTCAAACAATGCCTTAAGGCAAACTAGAACTATGACCCCTTTTAACTTGTAGCACAATGTAGTTTGTCTTTTCTACTTGTCTATCGTATATATCCACATCTGTATACTGTCACCTGTAGTGTTTCTGGTTTTAGTTCATAGATCTAAAAAATCAATCAGTAAATAATTCTGGGAACTTTTAAAGAAGCAAACATCCAGTGTCCTGAGTTAAATTTGGCATTTGAATGACCTAAAACTGTTACAGCTCATCCCTGCTAAACTAGTACTTCATGACCAATATACAGTAATAAAATGATGCCAGTACAGAAAGCTTAGCACGCCTTGGAACTCGTGGAATTTTCCAAAACTTTAGAATGGCCACCTGTCCACTCCAGTGATGGATTCCACTGAGTGGTTTGCCCTTCTCTAACTGAAGCTGTTCTTCAGCATAGTCAGAGAGTGTAGTGTTTGGTAGGACTGAAAACCTGGAGAGTCACAAGACTGGACACCACTGACTTAAAGGAAACATTGGTGAGGAAAGTAAGTTGTGGATAAAAGGGAAGCAAAAAGAGGGGGGAGGAGAGTGAATCGACTGGTTTTGGATGGGAGTCAGGGAGGAATTAGTTACCTGTAAGAAATGGCAAGAGAGCTCCTGCTGCTGACTGCCCTTAGATTTGACTAGAGCTCTATCTAGGTTTAGGTTACCGGATCCTGCGCTGGCTCGAAGCTGGTTGTGGCTGCTGTTGTTGGTGTAGACCTCTCTGGCCCTGCTCACCGTTAGGCTTGATGACCATGCCCCTTTCTTCACAAGGGGCCCGTCCACAAGGCCCAGAGACATCAAGGGGCCACTTCCTCCAACGATACCGCCACCGCTGTTATTGCTGCTACCACTAACTGGCACACATGCCGACGACGCTGCATACTTCACATCGTTGTTGCTCCGGGAGGCTTTGAGTGCAGAGTGGTGGTGTGTGTGGGTGTGGTTGTGTGTGTGCTCATTGAGTGTGCCGTAAGGGTCCATCATGAAGTATTGCTGGGACTGCGAGGAGGAGAGACTGGGGAGGGGAGTCTGGGGGAACTTGTCGTGGCTGTTGCCGGGGTACCGGCCCATTGTCATGGCGATGGGTGATGGGGAAATGGAGGGTGAGGGTGAGGGCGGAGGTTGGTGGTGGTGAGGGTGGTAGAGACACAGCTCCCGTTCCAGATTGTCATCTGAGCTCCAATACCCGGAGCCTGGAGCAGACGCTGAGCCGTGGAGCTGGAGGTGGTGGTGGTGGTGGCTTCGATGCTTGGGCTCCGCAGATCGACAGCGCTCGCGGCTCTTGCTGCGCTTCCGCTGGCGCATTCCCACCGGTGGAGTCTCACCCTCCGGGCTGGCCCTTGAACCACCACCACCACCTCCTCCTCCACCACCACCACCATTAACACTCCCGTTATTGGCCCCCTTGGAGGACTGTGTGTGGTGTGGCCCCTCCAATGAATGTGACTTGGTGAAGAGTTTTTGGACTGAGTGGACCAGGTGGCGAATTCTCCCTGGGCTGTCATTGTTGTTGTGTTGGGCTCCCATTCCCCCACTGTGGGCCAGCACTCCGCGTTTGTACTGCAGCGTGTGGTAGCCATCTCTGGAGAACGATGGCTGACGCTCAAATGGGTCCGCAAAGTTTGCTGGTACCCGGGTGGGCATTTTGCCCCCATAGCCTCCTCCACCTCCTCCTCCTCCTCCTCCTCCTCCCCCTACATATGGTACCATGGCCATACACTCATCCTTTACCTCAGGATGGTGGGATGAGGAGGTGGAGTGGCACCTCCTTGGGAAGGTTCCGTATGGGACGATGCTGTTGCTGTCAGAGGGGTACGGGTTACGCTGAGCATTGTAGTAGGACAGCTCCGCTTGATGCGGCATGGGAATGGGCACAGGCATGTCATTCTGACTGATTAAATATGGCTTGCGGTCAACATGGTGACCCAGTAGATCATACGATGGTTCATAGGAGACCACGTGATGGTGACTCCGACTACTGGACAGGCCTTTCATGACAGGGGGAAAGGATGGGTGGATGGAAAGAGGAATGGTATGGATGAGAGATGCCAGGTAGGCCTGTGACCAGAGAAGGGCTGCAGAAGACTGTCCCTGAGAGGAGAGCTGCAGACTCTGGAAGACAGGAAGAGAGAGGAACAACAAGAAAAGGTTAATCCAAGGCAACAAGTCAGACAAAAACAGTCCATGACAGTGACAAGCCCTGTGGGTTTAATTAAATCATATTAGTGTTGTAGATGTTAAGACCTTTCAACTTTTGACCTTTAATTATAGCATCCCCATGCGCCCCACAGTCCTTTATTAATGGAACCAAGGTTTGTCCCCATGCCTCCCTTCAGATTTTGATGATCCTTTTTGTTCTGATAGTCCATGCTTAGCATTTTAGGTGCAGTGCACTGCTGCAAAGCACCTTGAGGACAACATGGATTTCGGTGTCTAGCTCATGGACACTTCAACATGCGGACAGTAGGATCCAGCCAACCTTGTGGTGAAAGGATGATCCGCCCTCCCCCCTGAGCCACAGCCTCCCAAAAAGTAAACCATTTAAGCAGGAACAAACATTTTGTGATACGAGACAAGATAAGGTGTTAGATTGTTGTCTTTTGCTAGTTTTAAATGCTGCATTACAGTAAAGTAACGTTATTGTATGAACTTACCAGACTGTTCTAGCTTTTCCTAATATTTCCCTATACCCACTTATCAGTTATTTATTAAAAATGTCATTGTTTTAATATTTTAAGTATTTTTTTAAAACCTAGACTTATCACTTCATTTTGATTTTGGATTCATTCATCTCTCAATCTAGCTATGGTGCTGCTTATTGTGTGAAGGATCGCGTGAGTGGGATCCCAGAATACATTGGGTGAGAGGAAGGTAAACCCTAAACAGGTTGCCAGTCTGTCACACATTGGCAAAGTAACATTCACATTCACACCTACTGCCATTTCACCTAAACCTTGCGTTTTTGCACCGTAGGAGGAAACCAGAGCAACCAGAGCGAAACCACAAAGACACATGAAGAACATGCAAACTCCACCAAGAAAAGCTCGGGGATTTGAACCTATGCTGTGCCAGTGCTAACCCTATTATGAGTTGAAATCAAACTTCTGTGCGGCATGATGTCAGCAGAATAGAAAATACACAGTGGTTACAGTTAGTGTGTGCTGGAGGCTCGTCTTTTCTCAAGTGTTCCCAATGAGGAGAGAGAGTATACTGCCAATTAGAGAAAGAGCGCTGCACCCAGCATCTTTATTTTTCAGAGCACACCAACTCTTTTGGTGTGGCTGTTCCGAGAACTGTTCAGAACAGTATTAGTGTTGTCCCTGTCACTCCTTTTCAGGCGACTCTCAAGTTGGTGCTCATCGTGAAAAAACAATGTAAAACAAATAGATTGCAGACCAATTAGACAATAAAAAGCAGAGGGACGATGCTTGTGTAGCATTCAACGGCAGTTAGAGTGGTCATAGAATCAAAACTTACGTGCAGCGGGTGCGTTTTTTTAATTTGCTACATGGACCTTGTCGGCCTTGATTATATCATCACCTTTAGTGTCGCCCACAATGGCCTTCATTGGTTTGGTTATTGACCATGAAAAAGTTGCCTAACTTCATTTGTCCCTGCTGTTTAATACAACCGACAGGAACATTTCCTAAATTAGCATTTAGCGCCCCCTACCGGTGGCAGGACATCAAAGCGCCCTCATACCTAAGCGTAAGTTTAAACATGTGGATAACGTTGTGAAATGTTCGCAGTTTGGCTAGGTTTGGGCAATAAAACTACTAGAATGGGTTTTGGCAAGAAAACTACTTGGTTGGGTTTAGGAAAATGTCATGGTTTGGGTTCAAATAAGTATGTTTGTAACATAACTTAAGTTACATACGACAGTTAAACTATGCCACGTAAGTGAAGTAAATCCAGTATACTACTTAAGATAGTACAAAATAACTCAATGTTGACTTTTGGTTTGGCACAGGACACAAACAGCAGTTTACTGGTCCTGTGTTTGCTTGACCCATCCATCCACCCGAATCAAATTTTCTACGAGGATTTAGTCACACTTCATACTGCCACCTAATATACTGGCTGCTTGTATGAACGACCTATGGGGTCATTTTTTGAATAGGACAGTCTCAAAATGATGATCACAGACTTAAACCAGTCCATGAACGGGGCAGTCGAGTAGTGTAATGTTGCACTAAACAGGTGATGAAACACAGCCGAACAAAGACATCTGCATTTTTCAAACACGCTGTCTGGCATAAGTGTTTCTGTTAGTTGGTCGTGCACCTCCACATGGTCAAAGCTGAATACAGGAGAACTCTGATCCACAGGTCTGCTGGAGCTGACTGCTTGGATCGGCCTGCTGTTTGAGCTGAATGAAAGATGGAGCCAATGTTCCTCGGCGAAAGTGTAATGTGACCATATCTTATATATAATCAGCTGAAATCCCACACACAAGGGCTCCGAGTGGTCCAGCTGGTAACCAATAACAAGCCGTTGGGCAACACCAAAAGAAGAAGTAGGGGTTGATTCAAGAACTGGAACCACTAAATCTAAACATAAACACAGGCAGCTAAGGGACGATGACTAATACACATGAATGTCCTTTTTCTTTTCTACTCAGTGGACGAGACCAACCCATCCAATCAGCTTGCACTTTTAGTGCAGGTATGAGTTTAGTAAGAAGTCCTCTCACTCGGATCTTAAATAACTGTGAGTTCACATCTCAGGCTACAGGGTTCAGACTGCTCGCGAGGCAGTTTCATCACAGATGAACAGCCATGCAGGGCCACAGTGTTGATGCGTGTGCTGCATGGATGTGAGTGCACTCGCACTCTTGCATTTGCGGCGGTCTTGTGGGAAAGGTGGGTGCGTGTGCATGTCTGTGAGAGTTTTGTCTGTCCTACTTGCCCCATGACACCACTGCTTAACACAACCTGACAGCTCCACTGGTAGAAGGGCTAACAAGCTACAGTAACTCCCAGTGAGCTTAGGTAAGCCACACTCTCACACACACACACACACGCTTTTCTAGTCGCTGATCTCCGATAATGTTACATTGTAAACATGTAATTGACAGGACAGCTAATAATGTTAGCAGCACCGCTAATGGTCAACAAACAAAGGTTCTGTTAAGTTACATTATGATGCGTTCACACTCTGCTCAGTGAAGATAAGTATTGGGCAAAGGTAAATTGTAACGTTATCATGTGTGATTATAAAAAAATGATTAAAACAACTTATGACAACATTTGTTTTAATCCATAAATATTTGATTTCCTTATCAGTTGAATTGTGTATTTTTATGAAGAAAAAAACACAATACAAACAAAGTAAAAGGATAACATTTACAATTGTTGATGGTTTACTGACTTCAGAACGCTTGAAATTATTTTCAGGACGGTTGCAAAAAAACCAATTACATTGTCCGGAGCCTTGTAGACCACCTGCTATAATGAAACAACAAAGGGATCTGTATCTGTACATATAGATTATCAATGATCAGCTGTTGGTATCGGCGGCAAAAAAACATGATCAGGGATCGATAAGAGTTATATTTGCTCAATGTTTTTTCCTTTTGTGCTGATCCGATCTGTCGCACCACTACTGTTATGTCATCACTGGTTACGTCAAATCGGTACAATACAGTACAGGGTCAGACAACTGTATTTCAATTTGTAACCAATCTAGTGGCGTGGTATTTCTTAGCTGGGTAAAGTGACTTCCTGAAATATCTGCAACATGACGTTTTTAAACTTTGCACTTCAGACGTACATTTAGCGTCTGTATGAGACGCACCATCGTCATTATAAGAGGTCAGAGCAACTTACGTAGTATAAAGAGAGAGAAAGACGTAGACTTTCACCCAGGAGACCGCTGTTCCTATCCTCTGACTTTTTACTGAATGAGAGAGTGATGTACATCCATGTTTGTTGCTGTCAAGGTCACGGCTTAATGTCAGTCAAAAGAGATGCGATAGAGTCCCTGACAGCCTTTGTTGCACGTGTGGGAAAATTATCAATTTATTTATGAATCCTTACTGCTAACGACTAAAACCAAATCGACCTTAAACAGTAAAAACATGGAAGTACAGTAGCATCTATATCATGATTACCCAGAGAACCACTACTCACTGCTACTACTTTTTTCATAGAGAATAAAAGGACATGAAATATAGCGGCCACAGGCTTAAGATACGTCTCATTCACTGAACGTATATAATGAGTAGTGTCAATGAACGCTTCTCTTCTTTCCATTAATGTTGCCTTAGATGTGAGAGAACCCTGGATTAAACACTGGATGTGTTCTTTGGATAATTATGGGTTGGGAGTCCTGAATTACTCTGTCTCAATGAAAAGACATTGTACTCACTACACTGTGTCTAAAAATAAAACGCAACTGAATCGAGGGAGGAAGTGATTCACTTCAAATGATGCGTTATTGAAGTCAGACATTACTGTACAAGGACTAAAATAACGGGGTCTTAAACACAGCCTTTTTTTCTACTAGCACCAATATACATCTGATTACATCAAAGAGGACTTATGAAAAGGACCACAGCAAATATAAAGTATGAGTAGATGGAGGTGAGTCATTTACAATCTGAATGAAGGTATTCCCAGTACTTAAGAGGGAATTATACAATAGGTGAGCTATGAGAGTGAGGTGAAAAGATCTCAAGGTAACATTCTCTCGTCTGTAAGTACAGAGCTGGGGCAGGACAAGATTAGCCTAGCCTAGCATGAAAATGGAGGAGAAATGATGAATTGTCATCTTTAAAATTCTGTGTGTGTGGGGGGGGGGGGGGTTCAGATTAAACAAACATAGAGTCAAAGAGCTTTAAAGGGTTTGGTCGGTGTTTTATCGAGCTTTAGAGGGCAAACAGAGGATCACACTGTCCCAGAGATTTTAACTACCAGCAACAACAACAATAATGATAATTTATTATTATTATTATTGTTATTATTAGCATTATTGGCATCATTGGCATGCTGCCATTATTGTTATTTTCTTACCATTTTTATCATTATCATATTATAATCATTATTATTAGCATTATTATTATCATAAATTAAATTGTTATAGCGTTTTTCAAGAACTCAAAGTCGTACAAA